AATGGAATTGATAGAAACTGCAAAACACAGCTTTTACAGCATACCTCTAACAAGGTACTCATCCCATGACCACAAGGTCTAAATCATGAATCTTCAAACCCAAAACTTACTCTACTATCTTCAGTTCAGAGATGGAACCATCATCTCTCAATGAAGCTCTTTCTTCCCCTCAGTGGTTACAAGATATGAAGACTGAATATCATGCTTTACTCAGCAACAACACATGGTCATTGGTCCCAGCACCCAAACATAGAACCATAATTGGCAGCAAATAGGTGTTTAAGCTTAAAACCAATCCTGATGGCTCAATTGCCAGGCACAAACCCAGATTAGTAGCAAGAGGCTTTACTCAAGATGCTGGTTTAGATTATAAAGAAACTTTTAGTTTTGTTGTCAAGCCAACCACTATCAGACTGATTTTATCTATTGTTGTTTCTCTTAGTTGGGAACTTAAGCAGATAGATGTTGATAATGCATTTTTGAATGGCACATTATCTGAAGAGATTTATATGCAGCAGCCCCCTGGCTTTGAAATCAATCCAGCTCAAGGCCTTGTTTGCAAACTCAACAAATCACTTTATGACTTGAAGCAGACCTCAAGAGCTTGGAATTCTAAATTCATTTCTGTCTTACAATCTCTTGGTTTTTCTGTTTCTCAGACAGGCACCTCTTTATACTTCAGACATTCACATCATAGTTTTATCTTCATCCTTTCTTATGTGGATGACATAATTCTTACCGGCAGTGATTCTCTTGAGATCTCCCAACTAATCATCAGTACTCTCTAATCTAATTTCTCTTTAAAAGACCTTGATAGACTGCATTTCTTCTTGGGAGTTAATGTTTCTTACCACAAAAATCATGTTGTTTTGGACCAATCTCCGTACATTGATTCTCTCTTAGATAGGGCTGGTATGAAGGGGGCAAAAGGTTTAAGCTCTCCTATGGTTTCATCTTCACCCCTATCTAAGTATAATGGCTGCCCTATGGATAATCCTCATTTATATAGACAGATTGTGGGGGCATTGCAATATGTCACCTTGAAAAGACCTGAAATATCTTATTCTGTCAATAAGGTTTGCCAATTTATGCAAGAACCTCTGGATACTCATTGGAAATCAGTCAAAAGAATACTTAGATATCTTGCAGGCACCAAACACTATGGGCTTAAGTTTGAAAAATGTTGTCCTTTCAATCTCATTGGCTTCTGTGATGCTGATTGGGGATCAGACCCTGATGATAGAAGATCAACCTCAGGAATGTGTGTTTTTCTTGGCAACAATATGATATCTTGGAGTGCAAAGAAACAAACTATAGTTTCTAGATCATCTACAGAAGCTGAGTATAGGAGTTTAGCTCAAACTGCCTGTGAAGTCATTTGGATACAGTCTTTGTTAACAGAATTAAAAGTAGGGTTCCTTAAACCAACCACAATTTGGGTGGATAACCGTGGAGCTGTTTGTCTTGCTACAAATCCAGTCAATCACTCAAGAACCAAGCATCTTGAGTTGGACTTACATTTCATAAGGGAAAAGATTGAAAAGAAAGTCATCTCAGTCCAACATGTGCCAACCATTGAGCAAATAGCTGATATTTTTACAAAGGCATTAACTGGATAATTCTTTACACGATTTAGGAACAAGTTAAAATTGGTTCCTAACCCCTGCAAAGAATTGAGGGGGCATATTGAGAGCCATGCACACGTTGGCATGGTTGACCATTCAAAGACTGAAACAAGCAAAAGAAAGAGGATGAGTTGTCCTGCTGACATGGAAAATATGATGAGGAAAGGCTGCAGCCGAGCTGAGACCTTGCAGCACAAGAAAGATGACAAAAGTGTTCAAAACCCTAGACAGCTCACCTTTAGCCAATGAGATTGTTTTGCTGTGATATCCTTATCCTTTAGGAGCTTGTGATAGTTGTATATACATATCATTCTGAGAAAACATAGAAGTGTGTGAACATGAAATGAAAAAAAAGCTTACCATATCAATGAAACAGCATTAATGTCTTCCTTGTCTTACTTTATGATTTTTGATCTTTTTCCTTTTACAAGTCCAAATACGCGTACCTACCGACCAAGTGGCCCGACGGGAAGCGGCACCTGACGTACTCGTTCCCCGTGAACTAATGGAATGACGTGAACAGGCCGATCACGGCTGCGCTGTCCATGTGGGCCAAGGTGTCGCCGTTCACGTTTGAGTACGTCGAGGACTACAATTCGGTGGATGTGCAGATAAGCTTCCAGTATAGGGAGCATGGGGACGGGAACCCATTCGACGGGGTAGGGGGGATACTGGCACACGCGTTCAGCCCGCCGGATGGAAGGCTACACTACGACTCGGACGAGCTGTGGGTGGATGGGGTGGTGAATGGGGCGTTTGATATGCAGACGGTGGGGCTGCACGAGCTGGGACACGTGCTGGGGTTGGCGCATTTGAACGGACCGGGCTCGATTATGTACCCTTACGTTAGTAGTGGGACTCGGGCGGTTTTGACTGAGGATGATGTTGATGAGATCAGGAGTTTGTACGGTGGTGTACCATGATGACACAACGGAATATAGGAGGACACAAACTTCTTTAATTTTGTAGTATGTATGATGGGAATAATTGAATAATGTTTGTATAGGATATTTATTAATTAATATTTGAATCGAATTACTTGGATTTCTTACGTATGATTGAAATAATGAAAAAAAAATGCTTTTATGTTATGATGTAAGAAGATTATGTTGTTCAAGTAAGATTTGTTTGTTAAGGACACGGACAATGAACTGAGCTGATCATGAAGTTCTAGCGGGTAATACTCAGCGCATCTCCAATGGTACATGTAACGCCCCGTATTTTATTAATAAAGGAAATACTAGCTTTTAGTTTTAAGCTAGCCTTTATTAATAAATAATCATGTTCATGTTCAAGTTCAGAATTGACCAGTCAGTTATATCCTATGTTCGACTATTAGTCGATAAATTATTCAGTTTAATTAGTAACTGAATAAGTTTTTCAGATTTAATTCCGATTCGTTTAATTAATTAATAAGTCCGGAATTAATTATTCAGTCAGCAACATTCCGTCAGTTTATCAGTATAAGTTATGTTTTTAGTTCCGATATTAATTATCGGAATTAATTATTTTTAGTCAATTCAGTCGAGATTACCGAAATTTATTTTCGACGTACCGTTTACGTTCGAAATAAATTTTGGTAATTAAGCATTATGTTTAATTAAATAATTAAACATAAGATAAGTGATTAATTAATATTAATCATGCACTTAAGTTATAAAGCCATCCAAATTGCCTTCAATATAGGCAATGCCGTACGGAAATTTTTATTTCCCAAATCTTGCTAAGTTTCCTAAGCTTGAAGGAATCAATTTCCTTCCACATATTTATCTATCATGCGTGTCAATTAAGGGGGAGGATTAGTCACCTTTAACTCTTCATAAGAGGTAGCAAATGTCAAGCCTTAAGATAGGCCACGCACCACCCACGTCACTCCAACTATCCCTCGGCCTTAGTATAAATGGGGGGTGTTTGGATGAAATTTCCCACCTTTTTCCCATAAGAGACGATCAGCCCCTATACTATCCTTCCTCAGCAGCAAGTACCTTCACTTATTCCCTTAATTTTCCATCAACATCACACGGCAAGTTAAGTGCATAATACGCACGCGCAAGGTCACGTTGCGGAGCTAAGGAAACCACGCCATCTTTTGTTTTTCACCGAGCAATTGAGAGGTATTCTCATCTCTAACCTTATTTCATGTTATAAGTTCAGTAGGTGCAAGATCGTTCAGCTCCTAACTTGAAAATGTCATGAATATGTTATAAGAAGCTCGGTTTATGCCGTTTAGGCTAAGACCGAATCACGTTCATTTTATCCCGGCAAGTCCCGAACGTTTATTGTTTTGTCAGCCATCATTAAGTGTCTTATGTTAAGTTAAGTAGGATTTGTTGAGTAAATCAAAGGTTCGGTCGACAAATTGGCTTAAAGCCAAGGACTGCACGCGGGGTGCGTGTCAACGGCCGTGCCGTGTTATCCTTGCCTATGATCAAGTTGTTCGAAACAGTTCATGTCTAAATGATCAAGTTAAGTCATATTATGTTCAGTTATGTTAAGTTGTTCGGGAAGTTTTCATGTTTAACTAAGAAGGGCCATGAGCCGTGAACTCGCACATAGCGAGCGCACGCGGACGTGTGTGTTGGTCCATTGAACAAGTTCAGTAATTTTTCATGTAAATTCAGTATATTAGTCATGTTAGGCCAGATGATGCTGTTTT